GAAGAGGGAGTCCTGCATTTCATGCATTTTTCAAGAGAACAAGGTTAGTAGGTCACTCGAGCGCCGGAGGCTTTTTTCCAGCTGAGATGCTTTGCTGCCAAAGCCGCTGGGCCTGACAGCTCCTTCACCACCAGTGGGCGAGGGAGCAAAACGTATGTAGGGATGGACCAATGGAGGAATGAGGGGAGCTAGCATCACCCACAGAGGCAACATGACAATGACACCGTCTGGCACCACGGGCACACAGGAGCTAGCCAGGCCAGAGCACACCACACACACACACGCGCGCGCGCGCGCGCGCACACACACAAAACAAGGCCCCTTTGCAGGTCCCTGAAGCTGGGCCTGCCTTTGTTTCTACCAGGGCTTGGACATGAAGGCAGTTTTAATTTTTTTGAGAATCCACTAGGCTGGGCTGTGGCCCAGTGGCAGAGCATCTGCTCGGCATGCAGAAGGTTTCAGATTCAATCCCCACCCTTTCTAGTTAAAATGAGCAGGCAGTAAGTGATGCCACTGCCAGTCCAAGTAGACAATACAGACCTTGATGGAACAATGGTCAGATTCAGTATCCAGCAGCTTCATGTGTTCTTATGTGTCCTTTCCCCATTCAGTGTGCTGTTTCATGCTTTTCTTTTCTCCAATCTTTTTGGGAAGAGCATCATCCAAGCACATTATCAGGCAGTCTGGATGGGAAGTGGGTTCACCCACATCAGATCCATTTTCCCTTCCCTCAGCTGCTCAGAGCCACCATTTCCCCTTCCATGGCCCCAGAAGGCTATTTTCAGATTTTTTTATAAAAATCAGTGGTTGCTATTGAGTAATAGTGAAATAATTTCAGGAATGGGTGTCCCCAGCACACTGCAAATGATGTCAAGTGAGTTAGGTGTTTGCATGCACCACTCACCTGCTTCCAGTGATCCATACCACTCCCAAAAGAGTGAAAGTTACTCTGACAGACAGACAGAAAATGTCTGGCATGCATATTAATTAGGGTTATGACTTGAATGTGTAGGTGGGCGAGTGCTGCTCATATTCTCTGCCTCAGGCACCCAAACGTCTTGGGCTGGTCCTACACCCAGCAGTGCTTTCTGGCAAACAGTCATACTTTCCCTTGTGCCAAGCTATATGTGACAAGGACATCTAAATATATGGATTTGTATGTTCCCCCATTCAAATGTAAAGCAGAGGTGCCTGTGGGCAATCAGAGGGGTACACCTTGAATATTAATTAGGGGATTTGCATATTAGACCACATCCTCCGCTACTCCATCAGAGGTGACAAGTACATCTCACCCTTGCCCTCTTCCCACCTTACCTGGCTGTGTTCTGTCCTCCAAAGCCTTTTTCTCCAAAGATCACTCATCCCCAATATGGATACTGATCAGGAAGAACTTCAAGGGCATGAGGAGCACACATGACACGTGCTCAACAGGACCACTTTGTTCTGAGGCACCCTACCCGAGGTAGAGTACAGACTGACAGGGTGGGCTGATACCTTGAGGCTTTCATGTCCTACTTACAGGCATCCCAGAGGAACCTGGCTGGTCTCTGTTGAGAACCTGTAATATATCCAGTCAGACTGAGTGGCTGGCTAGGGCTCCACGTGGTCAAGCACAAACGTCGAGCTTCGCTCTTAGAGACAATAGACTATGCGGATCCTAGCCCGCACCAATCATGGGGCTAGGTCCCAGCCGAGAGCCTATGGAACTCTCGGCCCCTGTAAATAACCTATTGGGAAGTGGGGTGTGTGTGTTATGGGTGGCGGTTTCACGGGGAATATAAGCCGGCCTGTGAGCCGGCAAAAGCTGTCTTGTTCCTGATTAAATAAAGTACGTTTTGCTGAAATCACTCTCCGTCTGCATACTTTTCACTGGCGACGAGGATGGGATTCCGGGACATCGCTGGAGTCACCTCGCCGAAATCGCCTCGCCACCGGCATCGGGCTTTTCATCGCTCTCCAACTCCGAGCACCGCATCGCTGACTATGAAGCAGCACCGTGCCACTCCTTCCCTATGCTCGCTAATTCCCACCGTTCCCGCCATCGCTCCATGTGTAGCAGTAAGATGGCAGCCACCCAGAAAAGCATAGCTGCCTTCAATATCTCCCGCCCCACACAATGGGAGACCTGGCTCGAGATCCTGGAGAACTACTTCGACTGCCACGACACTGTGGACCTGGGGAAGAAAAAAGCCCATCTCATTCAGTCGTGCGGTATGGACACCGTCTCGCTACTCAAGGACCTCATAGCACCAAAGCAGACCAAGGATGAGCCCTACCCCGTGCTGGTGAAGGCGTTGACCAACCATCTTTCGCCGAAGCCCACACAGTTTGCCGAGTTCATGGACTTTTGTGCGTGGGTCCAAGGGCCAGACGAGACGGCCTCCGAGTTCTTGGCCGGGCTCAGGCGAGCGGCCACCAATTGTTCCTTTCCCCACCTAGCGGACACCTTGCTGACTCAGTTCCTTGTGGGGCTAAGGGAGCGCAAGCTCCGCAGGAGGCTGGTCAGCCAGGATGACCTGGACCTGGATAAAGCGATCCAGGAGGCCACTGCTTACGAGAAGGCCCATCAAGACCGCCACGCCAAGGCGGTCCACCGCACCCAAGCGACTGTCGGCTCTGATGCCTCGGACGAGGAGGAGGTACTACAGGTCCGCCATCGGGCATTCCAGCGCCCACATCAATCGTCCTACAAAATAAGCAAGGCTTCTACCACTTCGGCTGTGTGCACCAGCTGTGGGGAAGACCATGAGCGCAGGTCGTGCCGTTTCTGAAACGCGGTCTGCCGCAACAAATCAGGGCACATCGCCAGGGTTTGCTGCTCCAGAGGCCAATGCCAGAAGTCGTCAGCTCACCAGGTCACGCCGGAGCAGCACATGGACCTCCACAGCATATCGGCCCATCACCAGCAACACCTGGTATGTAACTTGCCCCCCAATAGCCCCCACAAAGTGCATGTCACCATCAGGATAGAGGGGTTCCCCTGCAGTATGGAGGTAGACACGGGGTCTTCATACTCCCTTATCTCTGCGGATACGCTCCACAAATTGTGTCCACAGGCCCCCCCCCCACGGAAACCACAGGGGTTCGCTTTACGGGACTTTAATAAGAACACTGTGGAGATCCTGGGCTGGGGCAAGTTGCGGGTGCAGTTCTAGGACTTTCACGGCCCCTTAGAACTGCTGGTGGTGGAGAAACCACGCTCAAGCTTGCTGGGACTCGCATGGTTCGGCCCTCTGGGACTGTCGTTGCATGGGATCAACCAACTCCGGTCCCAGGACTTTGGCGCCGTGTGCGCAGAATTTCCCCGAGTATTTGATGGCACCCTGGGGCGGTTTTCGGGACCCCCCATTTCCTTGGACCTGGACCAGGCTGTCCGCCCTATCCGCATTAAGGCCAGGCTACCGCCGATTGCAATGAAGCCTAAGATTGAGGCTGAGCTAGATCGCCTGGTGGAACAAGGGGTCCTGGAACCGGTCGCGTCAGCCCGACGGGAAACCCCGGTTAAGCTGAACGGTGAAGTACGCATTTGTGCGGATTACAAATGCACGCTTAACAAAGCCCTGCAGGCTCACGCATATCCGGTGCCAGTGGTGAGCCATGTGTTGGCTGCTTTAGTGGGGGCCTGGGTGTTAGGCAAATTGGACTTGGCCCAGGCATATCAACAATTGCCGGTTGATGCCGCCACGGCCGAGGCTCAGACTATCACGATGCACAGGGGGGCTTTCAAGGTGCACTGCCTCCAGTTCGGAGTCTCGGTCACACCGGGTATTTTTCAATCTTTTATGGATTCACTCCTAAAAGGTATCCCCAGAGTTCAGCCATTTTTAGATGACATGCTGATCGCAGCCCCGGACCACTCATCTTTCGCCGACCAGCTGCGGGCTGTGTTACATCGCTTCGACACAGCGGGCCTCAAGGTCAAGCGAGAGAAGTGTCTGCTGGGGGTCCCTCGCATGGAGTTTCTTAGGTTCACGGTCAACGCCTCTGGCATCCACCCCATCGCGGACAAGGTGAAGGCCATCACCCACGCACCGCCCCCAAAATCCAAAGCGGAGCTGCAGGCTTTTCTAGGGCTATTGAACTTTTATCATTCCTTCTTGCCCCTCAAAGCTGCAGTTGCGGAGCCGCTCCACCGCCTCCTGGACAAATCGGCATCTTGGGTCTGGGGGCCGCAGCAAGCCATGGCGTTCCAAGTGGTTAAGGACCTGCTGGTGTCAAATTCGGTCCTGGCGCATTTCAACAAGGCCCTCCCCGTGGTGCTGGCTTGCGACGCTTCACCTTATGGGGTTGGGGCGGTTCTGGGACATCGGTTGCCGGATGGCCACGAGATCCCGGTTGCCTATTATTCACGGACTCTGTCGGCGGCCGAGCACAACTATGCGCAAATTGATAAAGAGGCCTTGGCTATTGTGGCGGGGTGAAAAAATTTCACCACTATTTGTATGGACGCCTGTTCACGGTCCTCACGGACCATAAGCCGCTGTTGGGCCTCCTCGCCCCCGACCGCCAAACCCCTCAGAGGAGCTCCCCCCGAGTGCTGCGCTGGTTTATTTTCATGGCGGGGTACGCCTACACCCTCGTGCACCGCCCTGGGAAGGCAATGGGGCACGCGGACGCCCTGAGCCGCCTGCCACTGCCAGTCTGCAACCCAGATCCAGCCCCTGCCCACCAGGTCGCGCTGCTGGAGTCCCTCCCGGAGCAGCCGGTCCACGTCTCGGAGGTGGCTCACAGCACCTCAAAGGACAAGCTTCTCTGTCGGGTTTTGGACTGGGTGGTGAGGGGGTGGCCCGAGGCCAAGGGAGACCCAGACCTGGCTCCCTTCGTGTCCCGGAAGGACGAACTGTCTGTCCACAAAGGCTGTGTACTGTGGGGAAGCCGGGTGGTCATCCCTAAGCCCTTACGGGAACGGGTTCTAACAGCCCTGCACGAGGCGCATCCAGGGGTGGTGTGCATGAAAGCCTTGGCCCGGAGTTATGTCTGGTGGCCGGGTCTGGACAAAGACATTGAGGGCGTAGTAAAGAGGTGCCAGCCCTGCCAGGCTTCTCGGCCAGAACCCCCTCAAGCTCCAGAAAGGGCCTGGGACTCCTCTCACCACCCCTGGTCTAGTTACACTTAGATTTTGCGGGACCTTTCCAGGGGCAGCTTTTCTTTATACTGGTAGACTCTTACAGCAAGTGGCTGGAGGTAGTCCCAGTAACCTCCACGTCATTGAAGGCAGCCATCCGGGCAATGTGGCGGATCTTCAGCGCCCAGGGAATACCCGACACGCTGGGCACGGACAACGGAACAGCTTTTACCTCAAGTGAGTTCCAGGACTTCACGAGATATTACGGTATCCGCCACGTCCGGTCGGCCCCGTTTCATCCCATGAACAATGGCCAGCCGGAACGCATGGTCCGCACAACGAAGGATGCTCTCCGCCGCCTGGACTCCTCAGATTGGGACTACAAACTGGCGGCTTTCCTGTTCGGCCAGCGCACTACACCCCACACCACTACGGGGCGCAGTCTGGCTGAGCTACTTCTTGACCACCGCCTGATGACCCAGGTTGACCATCTGCACCCCGATCAAGCCCCGGCAGAGGCACCAGCCACGGAGGACCACGAGGCACCCAGGGGATTCTTCCCGGAGGATCCTGTGTACGCCAGAAACTACGAGCCTGGATTCCAGCTCGGGTGGTGCGTGTTAAAGGTCCCAGATCGTATGAGGTATCATGTAAAGACGGGCAGATACTACACCAGCACATCGACCAGTTGCGGCGATGGACGATACCACCAGAACCCGAGGACTTGGATCTCGCGGACGCCACAGATGCCTCAGCCCTTCCACAACCACCCGCCGCAGATCACAGGTTTCTCCCCCTGATTGCACACGAGGGCCCTCTCCCAGCGACACAGGAAACGCCGACACAAGACTCCCCAGCGCCACCCCCCATGGACTCGCCCCCGGGGACGGCGGTGAGGGAGCCAGCAGCAATTCCCGCAGTTCGCCGCTCTACCTGCACCAGGAAGTTACCAGGCCATCTGAAAGATTTTGTCTGTGGGTAGATTGCAGACCAGGGGGGGAGGGGTGTAATATATCCAGTCAGACCACGTGGCCGGCTAGGGCTCCACGCGGTCAATCACAAACATCGAGGTTCGCTCTTAGAGACAATAGACTATGCGGATCCTAGCCTGCACCAATCTGGGGGCTAGGTCCCAGCCGAGAGCCTATGGAACTCTCGGGGGGTGTTATGGGTGGCAATTTCATGGGGAATATAAGCCGGCCTGCGAGCCGGCAAAATCTGTCTTGTTCCTGATTAAATAAAGTACGCTTTGCTGAAATCACTCTCCGTCTGCATACTTTTCAGAACCCCAGGTTAGATCCTACAGATCCACCAATGGAAAGCACTTCCGCTACAAAGCAAATTGGTGGAACCCAACCCACAGTCCTGGATTAGGTAGATCTTTGATCTGAGCAGGCTCGGCACCTCTTATGCTCTTTAAACTAACGTTGACTGGCACAAAAGACAAAGCCCCCAATTGTACGGAAAGGGTGCCTTGGCCTCTGTTAAAGTGTGAACACAACAAATCAAGGTTAATTGTGCCATGTTCCGTTCACACTTCTGCATAAATCTCTGAGGCAGCATTAGTTAAAGTGTGAACACAGCACTTCAGTTATCCCCCCCCAATCCTTAGCAGTTCACAACTTGTTAATGAAGCTGTACCAGTTAAGCCTCACACTTCTTCGTCTGAGCTCTGCTTCTGGCCAGTCAGGGTCACACAACCCTTTTTTGTTTGACTTGTCCCAAATCCTCTGTGGCCATCGGTCAACATCTAAACTGCATTAAACTGGAAAGATGAGATGGGAAGCTAACAACGTTCAAAATCATGATGAATAACCATTTATCTCGTGCCCTTGGTGAAATGGCACTTTTGCAGAGTAAAATAAATAAATAATGGAGCTGACTATGTAAATGTTGACAGAAGGCATGGAAGGAAGGAGAGAAAAAGACATCCAGCATCAGAAAGACTGGGGATGGGAGAGTCGAGGCAATCAAGGGATGAGAGAGACATCAAGGGACAAGCTCATCCAAGTTCCATATGCACATTTGCAACAGCTCAGGATGAAGATGAGCTGGGGAGGTTTACAACTTCTAATGAAGAAAAAACAGTGCTGTCAAGCCACAATTGACCCATGGAGAGGAGACTCCATCCATGGGGCAATCCAGGATCAAGACAATCAGAGGTGGTTTGCCATTGCCTGTCTCTGCATAGCAACCCCTGTCTTCCTTGGCAGTCTCCCATCCAAGTACTAACTCAGGGATGCCTCAGCAGAGGAGCTGATGTGGGAAAGTGTTCCCGGAAGGTTTGCAAAACAGGATGACAGTCATTGCTGCCGAGCGTAAACTTGTTTTTTTACACCCTTTTGTCCTGATATAGTTTCTGATCAAACACGTTTGGCAGGTTTTTGAAGCAGTGCAAAGACACCCAACTTGTTGTGGATTTGCAGTGAATGATATCAACACGGCTATGGTGGGTGATTGTGCCTTGAACTCACCCAATCGCCTTCCTTGTGCTATTGGCCCAGGACGCCTTCCTCAGCGCAGTCCTGAGAGGGAGGAGCAGCAGATGAAAGAGCACCGTGGGTTAAAAGTTAACTTGGCAGGCAACGTCTTGCTGAAATGGCAGCCTTGCGCTGGGGCGTTTGAGCAAACAAGCTGGCCGTTTATGGCCTGGCTCAACTGCTGATAAAAGGGACAAACAGCTGAGTGGCCCTGAAGTTCTTCATTGCCTCCTTTCTCCTCCGCCTCCCTCTTTCTCCCTTTCCCCTCCTCTTTGGAGCAGGAGTGTCTGGGCACCATTCTCTGCTGCTTGGCACTGAAGCATCCCCGGCTCTCCTACACCTTCTCCTTGTGCATTTTGCAGCTCTGCACATACACAGGGCTTTGCTGGCCAGCAGGTTGTGCCTTTGCAAAGCGGATGAGCAACTGAACCACCAACAGGAGTGGCTGGGGCAATGAAACAGCTCAAGAAAACAAGCAGAGCCAAGTGGCTCCAGCGGGGGGAAGGGTATTTCATAGGGTTGCCAACTCAATGTTGGGAAATCCCTGGAGATTTTGGGATGGAACCTGGGGTTTGGAGAGGAAAGGTGCCTCAGTGTAGCATAACGTCATTGAGTCCAACCTCCAAAGTAGCCATTTCCTCCAGGGGAACTGGGAGATCTCCAGGCCCCACCTGGAGGTTGGCAATCCTAGCTATTTGGCTTGGACTGATTCAGCACTCACACCACAGCTAGATTTACCTAGGCACTGACCAAGCCTATGCCTGGTTGTGTTGCTGCCACTGGCTGGTGGTGTTGCCGCTGTCCCTTGCAGTGCTGCCAGTGCTCGGTTAGCTCCTGACTGCTGGTGGCTTTCCAAGGCAATGGGCCACTGGGAACTTCCTCGGGGCGTTCAAGGGTCAATCCGTCCCTCTGTGTGAAACTGTGTAAATATGCCTTCTGCAGTCCCCAGTTCAGTTTGCGGCTTAGCGATGGGCAGCCTGAGGCAAGCTACTAGGTTGGCTTGAACTTCCAAGCAACTGTATGTCAACAGCGCTACTGGGAAGATTGACCCTGATTTCGAGAACCTGAAGCCACAATGAGAAAGTAGCAGAATTCACTCTCCTGTGCACTTCCTAGAAAAAGAGGAGGTGTTTCCCACAACCTGATTTTAGACAAGAACAGATGTTGTGCTTCCTATCAGACTGATGGATTGAACTCTATGCGGGGCAGAGCACTCCATGGCTAGTAGCCATTGATTGCTAGTAACCACTGTTTGACCTCACCTCCATGAATTTGTCCAAGGGCTTGGGAGGGATGGTCCAGCCATCTTCTGGGCAGAGCTCTAGAAACACTATCCATACCACACCATTTATTCCATCTCTCTCTCTCTCTTTCTCTCCCCCCCCCCAATCATGTTCCTCTTTCTCCTTTTGGCATCTTGGAACATGAGCTACTGTTGCCATGGCTACGGACGTGCACATCTTCTTGACAAAGATGCCTCCGTCATCTAAGTTTGCACAACACTCTGGGAATGGGGGGGGGGAGGAAGAAAGGAAAAGATCTCATGCAACAGCACAGAAATCTGCTGCCTTTTATGATTGCTTTGGCCTTGGGTCTTTCCAGCAGAAGAGATGCCGGAATTTCCTTATGAAATATGGCAGTAATGCAAGGCCTCCGTGAAGTGGGGGCAGCTGCATGGTTTCCATAAAACAAGTCCATAATGAAGGCATCTTCTTTTTGGAGGAACCCGAGATAGGGAACCCTCCAGCATGTGTTGCTATTGGCAGTACAGTGGGGCGGTACTCATCCCTTCTTAACCAACATGTGTGAATGGACCACTGCAGGACCACCATATGATCACGGGTGGTACAGCATTTTCCAGGAACATCCAACTGTTAATTGGCAAGGCCTGGTTCATATATCGACTGAATAGTTTTTATCAGATTTGTAATCCAAGTAGGAAGGACTATAAATGAAAATAATAATCCAGTGGTGAATTATTTAATGAATGTATTTAATTAATTTCTACCTCACCTTCCTCCCAAATGGGGACCCAAAGTGGGCTCACATAATTCTCCTCCCCTCCATTTTATCCTTACAACAACCCTGTGAGATAGGCTAGGCTGAGAGTGTGGGATTAGCCCAAGATCACCCAACAATCTTCCATAGCACAAGTGGGGATTCCAATACTTTCAGCCAATACACCACACTGCCTGTCTTATACAGGTCATAGATATAACCCAGATAGAACTGCCATAGCTGCTGAATGGAATCAGTTCACACATTCAGGCTGTGGTCACACGGCAAGCCTACTGCGATTTGTTCCCACTGTAGATTTGATCGGGGATATTTTTAAGTGGGTTCAGATGATCACACATCTGTTGCCCAACTGCTTGCTTTGTGCGACAATACACCATGCACTGTCCAGACAGCCACGCTGCCCAAGTGGCAACGTGGCACAATTTTAAAAAAATTGCGCATGTACATGTGAGTTTTGCACATGTGCACAATGGTGAAAGTTGCAAAAAAAAAAAAAACTACTGGAAGAAGGAAGTTCAGACGACCTAATCGCAATCATTGCAAGAGATGGCTGTCCAGATAGGCAAATTGCGTATTCAAAGTGCAAGTACCCAGAAAGTAGTTGATTTTCCCAGTGTCGGAAAACTCACTAGGGAACCAGGAGGATCGTGTGAGTAAGCCCACTTCGGTGCGGGAGACGGATGTGGGCGTCTGGTCAGCAATTTTAAATGCGAGAGGGAACAGTGATGAAACCTGATCAAAATGACCATGTGACCACAGCCTCAGTTGCTACTATGCTATGCAGGAATCAAGAGAGCTACAAGTGCATGTGAACCAGACCAGACTGGGTACATGTACAGACAAACCTTTACTTAAATGACACTCGTAAATGTACCCAATACCTTCATCAACTGTATTAAGCTGGGAGGGCACTCTACCTAGGATGCAGACAAGGTGAATTTTCTCCCCACCACCACCCCTTTCTAACATCCAGCCTCATAAAAAGTTACAGAGATCTCAAAAGCTTGCACTGTTTTATGTCATTTTTTGCTGGCCTTAATAAATAGCAGGACATGAATTTCATTTTTTGGATTTGTCTACGGATCCAGAACCTCCATTGATTTACATGTTATTCCCAAATGTAGTCTGCAGGGAGGACTTTATTTCTCTCCCCCTTTTTGCCCTTCAGAAAGTTCTGGAATGAAATGTCTAACAAAGTTTCAAGTTTCCATCACCCCAAAAAAGACAGCCCAGTTAACACTATCTTGGAGACGGATGAGTGGGAGGCACCCACAGAAGAGCAAAGACTGCATTGCAAAAGA